AATTTAGCACACTTTCCCTGTGGCACTCAGCACCTAATATTGTGAGGATCTTGTTTCTTGTGATTAGACATAGCTTTTTCTAAGACAATGAAGTATAATTATCTTAACACTGCACAAAAATGGCTATTGAGCCAATAGGCATCTATCATATTCCTTTAGACCAGGAGTGATTTGAGGATGGAGTATGTCCTATTTATTATTGTAGCATAGTGCCTTACATATAATAGTCTCCTGATAAATGGTTTTTAAGAGAGGCTTAAGCTAAACTTTTCTTTTTTATATACCTAAGCAATAATTTTTTGGACCTATTTTACCTTTATCATGATTAAAGTTTATCTCTTTCTTTCCAACCTTTTCGTGCTCTATTTTTTATTCTGGCATCTGTCTTCTGTGCAATCACTTCCAGCATTGTGCTGAATACAGATTTGGGAAGCATGCCTGTTATATCATACCATTGAATAAAAGAAATACCAAGCCGTGTTTTTCTTTTTTTTTCCAATTTGACATGGTGGCTTGGTGGAAAACTTGTTAGATTCTGTAGGCCTTAATTATATTATTATTAGCACTGCTAGCTCACATTGTTTCTAAATAAGTCAATTTGACTTTCAGAACTTTGGATAGTTCACCTGTAAACTACCTGTCTCAAAAGAGTTGATAGGATGATCAAATATGATCATATTTTCTAAAGCATTTTCAAAAAATGTTTTAAAAATTATATAAATCCAAGACTTGAAATTGTTATTGTCATTGATGTTATCTTGAGAATTTCAATAAATGTTGAGTGGAAATGGTTCTTATTCTTACCTGAAATTTTGTCATCTGTGTTTTGAGTGTTTTGGTTAATAAGAATGTATTTGTACATAGTTTTACTTCCCTAAAGTTTAGAAATTTGGTTTGTCATTGACTGCAGGAGTTGGGAGAGCAGTACTTTCAGGGTTATGATCCAATTCATGTTCTGGAAACACGTCCATTGTAACTGTATTTTGTGCTACACAGGACTTTGTTGTTTTGCAATTTAAATTATGGACCTGTGAATTTTATTAGCTCTTTTGAAAGAACTCTGCATCAGCATTGTGTTTGTTCTGCTAAATTACCTTGACTTTTTAATTGAAAGGCAATTTGTTTTAATTTTAGTATCAGTACTATAGAAAGTCATGGAAGTATTTAATGATCATGTAGTTTGAACCCTCTCTGACTAGCAGGAAATTATCTTGTCTGCCTGACTTTTAATAGATGACATTCACCCACTGGATCTGCCAAACGTGTGTAAAGACACTGTATCAGACTCTAAACTGAAAACTCAAATGGAAGTCAAAGTCAGACTCATAATAATCAGCTTCTATTTTCTGCATGTCCCAGAACCCTGGGGAGGAATATGTTATACCAGTTCTGACACAGCTACCTTTCCCCCATTCTGATTATGAAAATCTTAATTTAACCCTTTCCTATATAAATTATTTTGATTCTTTAGTTTCTGCAATAAGAACTGATTTCAGTATATCTATCCAGTGTAAAACAACCTCTTGGTCATCATTTTTATTGTAATATAAGAAGCAAACATCAAGAGTAAGAAAATTGAATGAAAATACTCACTTTTTGATTACCGGCCTGGGAAGTTATATCCTTCATCATGGCCCACTTACTCAATGTATAACAGGAGTTCTAATAAATGAAGTGGGAATGTTTATGTCAAGGACCCTGTACTGAAGCCTGGTTAGTGGCTCGCAGGTGTAGGCATCAGGTCTGTGGGTCAGCTCACCCGGTGATAACCATTTCTGAGTCAGTCAGCTAACAAACTAGCATGAAGTGGGATTAAATCAGTGATTCCATTACCAATGAAATTTCTCTTTTTGATTTTGTTAAATAGGTAAGATATACACCTAGTAAAAAAGTCCAGTTGAAGTAGTAGATAAAGGGTATACAATGAAAAATGTCTGCCTTCTGTGGTGCCCAACTTCCTCTCTAGAGGCAACCCCAAATGTTCAGTTTCTTCGTTTGGATGTTTTGATAAATTTTTAAACAACCAACCCCCTATTGGCAGACGTTTAGCTCGTTTTATTCTTCTCATACTACAAATTATTGCAGTGTTTGTTCTTTAGATACTTGTACCTGCATAGCTATAGAATAAATTCCTAGAACTGGAATTTCTGGGTCAAACAATAAGGACATTATTTATTCTAATAGGCATTTTCAGATTACTCACCAGAATATGAACTATTTACAGTTCCATCACCAATGTTTAATCACACTAGAAATTTTGTCTTTCCAATAACAAAGATTTCCTCTTCCATTCCCAGAATTTAGATACTTAGGAAACCAAAATCAAAAGATTTGTAATGAGCATGCAACGAAGCCACGGGAGTTGCTTCATGGCCGCGAGTGGGTTGTCAGACAGGGTCCCTGCTTCATCAAGTTCTGTTATTCTGAGACATCCTATTTGTGTGTGTGTGTGTGTGTGTGTGTGTCTTATTTTTGTGTATCGTGCTTGAAAAAAAATGAATAAAATCAAATCTCTCTTTTCAAGGCCCCATACCAATAGTCCCCTTTCAGTATGTCCTCATCATTACATTATCATTTTTTATTTTACAACTTGCAATTATTCTGTTAGATACAGATTATGATTCTTTTTCAGGTATTACATTTTTTTCACTTTCTTTTATTTTTTAATTAGTTCCATGTATACAAAACAATGTAATAGACATTTGTACCCCTCACAAAGTGATAACCCCCTCCCCCAATCTACTACCCCTCTGACATCGTATATAGCTGTTACAGTTCCACTGACTGTATTCCCTATGCTGTACTCCACATCCTGTGACTATATATATTAAATTATAGTTGACATTATTATTCAGCTTCAGGTGTACACTGCAGTGGTCAGGCATCTACACTGTGCATGAAGTGTTCTCCCTAATAAGATAAGTGTCCATTGGATACCCTATCAAATCTTTACATTATTGATTACATTCCCCAAACTGTCCTTTGTATCCCCTTGGCGATCTTATGGTTATCAGGTATTACATTTTAATTTGCCTGATTACAAATTATATATGAGAGTATATTTCCTTCAGAAGTGTGTCAAAAGAATTATTTCCAAACATAGTTCCTAAAAAATAGTAATTCCATCACTGGTTTGTGAATAATTACTTAGAAGTAGCACTTTCTCATTCTTAAGAGTTTGCCTTTTCCCGTTGTTTATTTCTGTGTTGTCTTCCTTTAATCTCCTTGGCTCATCTGTGTTTGCTTCAGTGGCTGTCTCTGCTCTGATTACCACCAACCGACCAATAAATTATTATAAAGTGTCTTGTACATAGAATATTCTACAAAAGCTACCAGTGATAGTCCATCCCTAGATTGTCTAATGAACCACTAATGCACTGTGTGTTAAGTAGAATGTATTGATTGGTTTACGTGATCTTCTATGTCTAGCAAATATACAGTGAGCATGAGGTGCTAGGTTTTGTTCTGTTTTTAAGAATCTCTTAACAATTACTTCATGTTTTAAATGGCATGTATTATGACTATCAGATGCTTCCCGTTTAATTCTGTGGATAATTTGGTCACTGCTTTAGCCAGCAGTGTGTTCTTTTTCACTGTCATCCTTTGTTCTCTATTTTCATCTGTGTCTTCTATTTAGAGAAAATCAGAGTAATCACTGGTTATTTATGTCATCAGAATGTATTAAATATTTTATAATTCCTAAAAGGCCAGTATAATTGGAAGAGGAAGCAGGAGTTGAGGTTAATTAGAGAAATTCTATTAGGAAACAGAGGATTCTATTGTTTTTACCCCTTCCATAGTGTCATGGACTGTTAATTATCAGTTATGATAAATTCTGATAATTTAATATGTTCTATGAATAATATGTAACAGATTTAGGGTAACTCCCTCATTGTCTGCAGTTCTTGTACAGAAATTTCTTATCCTTAATAAATATTTTTATTTATTTCCCTGGTAACTTTAAGCTTAGAATAAATTCTACTCATTATCATCACTGGGTGTGATGTACTTATTAGCCTATAAGAGATGTATTTTATATTTCTACATACAATATCACTGTTTTCCTCATTGGCTCTGCTTTCACCTTCAAATTAAAATTAGTGAAGGTTTGTATGCAGACAATAGCAATGATATAATTATTTGGAATGGGGTGCATTTCACTAAACATTCTTCTAAGAATAATGTCCTTTTTCAAAGATTTCACTACAGAATAGGATTAATAGGCTTTTTATTGGCTAATCTGAGATCCTAACCGCTATTAATTATATATTTCTGGGTGAATTTTTTTCCTGTGTTCCAAAAATGTTAGAAATTTTTAAAGAACTGTTGACACAAAACTCATTCAAAAATTGAAGGTGGGTAGAATATATGGTGATGGAAGGAGGTCAAATATATGGTGATGGAAGGAGAACTAACTCTGGGTGGTGAACACATAATGCCATATATAGAATATAAAAAAAAATTGAAGACTAATTCTATTTTAAGTGTTTCTCCAGGAATTATGTGCTGAATATTTATTTTGTATTTGAGGGCTATTATTAATCGGCCTCTTAAAATACATAATTTTCAGTAACACTTAATGTTTCTTACATTTATTCTTAGATTTGAAGTTCTCTTTAAAATTATAGAATTTGTCTAGATTTTGGTTTAAGTTGCTATATTTTATCCATCCCTCTGTTTTCCAGGAGTGTGACTGGGGGGAATAATCCTTTTAATTCTATTATTATGGTAAAGTTGTTTCTATGCTTTGGAATAATCCACCAAAAAGATAAAGCAAATAAACTGGTAATCATCCAACAGCAAAACCTTTTCCTATCTACTCCACAAAGCCTGAGCAAAGAGCTGATGGATGTATGATGCTTTGTCAAACTAGATCAACTATCATTGAAAAGAGGTGAAATTGCATGTCAGTAACTTATGAAAGAGAAGACCCAGAAGATCTATCTGATATGACTCACTGCTGCTATGGGGACACTAAAATGTTTGTGTTTTTATTTTAGTGACATTGTACGCCTCCTGTATTCTCCTGGGAGTGTTCTTGAATAGCAGTATACCTATATTTTTTGAGCTTTTTGTGGAAACTGTCTACCCAGTTCCAGAAGGAATTACTTGTGGAGTTGTCACTTTTTTAAGTAATATATTCATGGGAGTACTTTTATTTTTTCTCACATTTTATCACACAGGTAAGAAATTTGACTTATTGTTTGCTATCTAAATGTGTTACAAGAGAGGTTTGTGGAAATGCTATATGGGGAACTTATATGGAGAATCCTCGCTAAAGCAAGTTACTTTATTTGAGTTTTCATATGACAATAAAACACTTTCAGTTATTTTGAAATGCATCCTAGCCTGATCTAATGCATCCTCACCCCCTAGAATTTCTGATTTAATTCACCCAAATTGGGGTCTAGCATTTATATATTTTTAAAGCCCCCCCCCCCGCAGGTGTTTCCAATATGCAGGTTGTCATTGAGAACCACTGGTGTATTGCTTTTCAAAAAATACTTAGAATCTACTTTCTTAACATAGGGTATAAATTAATGTCAAGGGAACATAGTTTAAAGCCTTAGGAATAAATGAGAGGTCACACAAGGAGTGCATGAAATACATTGAACAGCACTGTCCAGTGGAACTTTGTATGATAATGGCAATGCTCTTTATCTGCCCTGCACTGTCCAGTGCAGTAGCTGCAAGCCACCAGTTCCTGGTGCAGCTAAGGAACTGGATTTTTTATTTTATTTTATTTTAATTAAGTTTAAATAGCTACATGTGGTTGGTGCAGGTATAGACGGAAAAGAAGGTTGGGGTTAGAACCCAGGAGTCCACCTTTGAAGAAGAGGGAGAGCCTTATGCAAGAGGAAGGGTGGGTCCAGAACCCGAGGGGAGGAGTGTGCCTCGGACAGAAGGAGAAGGGAGAAGGCAGTGTCAGTGGGCACAGAGGCAGACGCCTTTGCTGGGCAAATTGTTGAAGGAGTTCCTTCTTGATGGCACCACATTTCTGCTTAGAAGCCAGTTCAACTATTAAGAATTGGTGGGAAGAAAGTGGAGAAACAGCTTAAGCAGAGAAAGAAACTTTAAAAAAACTTTTGAGGGGGGTGGGAGAGGACACTGCAGGGAGAGATTGCTGGGCATGTTGAAGGCAGGCCCTGCTGGCGTGGAGGTCCGTTTTGCACAGTTGTTTGGTTTTCTCTGACATTCTCTCTTCTGTGATCCAGATTCTGTCTTACTATTTCAGAAAATTTGCGCACAGTTATCTAGGATATTTTGCATGTTACAATAAGAATTTATACTTATGATTCTTGAATATAAAGCTTTTATTAATTGCTACTAGGTTTGTATCCCATTTTATTTCTTCACCTTAAATAATCTAATTACTATCTGGTTTTCCCCTGGTTACTGTTCTCTTTAACTACTCATCAAATACCAGTAAATTTGGATGATTTGTACATAGAAGAATCTAATTTATAAGATTCAGATGTAAGAAATGCTTTAAAATGTGATGCTCCAAAAGGCTTAATTGTTTATAGGAAACTTTCTGACAGGCTTGTAATCGAAACAATAACCACAGTAAACTCCTTGGCTGGAAAATAAATTTTTGAAACTTTCAAAACTGATCGAACAGAATCTGCCCTGGATTTTGGACAAGTTTTGACATTGCACTGTCACCTAACAGCAAAACACACTCAAATGATATATTAATTTGTTGATATAATTAACAACAAACTGGATTATGTCTATCAATCAGTAATACGTACAGGTAAAGTAGGTTTTAGCTGTGCTAAACTTGATGGGAGTTTAGTTTATCATATGAAGGACGGTGATACTGATGAAGTCAGACCACTGCTTAATGTCTTCCTGGAAACGTGTTTCCATTAGGGAAAATGCCATCACTAGGTGTTGGACTAAGGTCTTTGCTTCCAATGAGTTTTCTTTTTTTTTTTTTTTTTTTAGCTGAGCCATCCCGCCACCTGTTGGCAGCTCACGGCTGCTCAGCTCGGGCTGACTCGAACCACTGTNCTCACGGCTGCTCAGCTCGGGCTGACTCGAACCACTGTTGCTCAGAGCTCAAACTCTTGAGCGAGCTCTTAACCAACTGAGCCACTCAGCCGGCCCTTCCAATGAGTTTTCATCTGACAAATTTATATCAGCCTAAATCCACCTCAGTTATGTCACAGTTGCAATTAAGAGGCTCAGTGCCTCTCTTTGCCTGGTAAAGTATCAAAGATGGCTATGTTGCCCCTCCCAACGATAGAAACAATTTTCCAGCTCATGGTCACAGGTTTGCTAAGTGGTTTTTTGCAGCCTGGTAGAGCATGATTTTTCGGTATTTAAAAACACCAACAGCAGATGCCAGATAATGATATCCTTCAATAAACTTCCTGCATGTGGTCTCTAGACTATCACGCGTATTTATTGATCAGTTTAAGGCAGGGACTACCCCTGCACTGTCGGACTGGGAGAGCCCAGTGCACTCCTGGCCATTTTGCTTGGCTAGTAGAGTATCTCTGTTACTGTCCTAGGTCCCACCGCAGCTTTCAATGTGTTCAGCAGAGCCTGGCATCTGGCATGAATTAACTGTACCTGACATCAGTCAGGGTTCACTCCCCATTTTGCAGATTCACAGTGACCAGATACAAGCAAATATTTTTGTTTCTTTGGCATAGGCGGCAGAAGAAACACTTAGCACCATTTCTGCTACTTCCTGTCTTACTGATATAATCAGGCTTTATGCAGCAGGGTGGCAGGGAGGAAGGTTTCCTTCTTTTTTGGTTGGTTTCTGATTACATGTTCTTACACATATCTGGGTAGATGTTAAAGGTTTCTGCCTAAACTCCATGATTATTGTGAAAAATGAAACTTTAAATAATAATTAATTTTAATCCAACAAGGTGATTTTCAGGAGAAAAAAAAATCTCAGCACATTTTGACATTTCAGAGAGTTAATAAGAAGATATATGTGAAAGAGCCTCGACCAGGGCATAACTGGCACTCACAAATTGTTTGCTTTGTTTCCTTCTAGCTAATTAGCCGGCTGATGTTAGGAATTTAAATATCCAGGCTTCTATTTTAAAGAAATGCTTTTATATGTTTATTTGTGAGTGTGTCTAATGACTATACACAAACATATCCTACATCCCTCCAAGGCTAAGGTATTAAGCTATGAAAACAGTGTTGAGTTTCTTTCACATATATGATGAATCGATGTTGTCCTAAAGCCCTATAGCAAAAGTTCACATGCCTTATAACTGAAGTATGATGATACATGAATTGCACATCTTAAAATTCTGTAAAATTATTCCCTAAAAATAACTTCTAGTTCCACAGCCTAGTACCCTAAACGTTTTTCATTATAAATTAAATTCCCTTTCACTAGAGCCAATGTTCAAATGTTATAATTTTGTCATTTTAAAACTTGAAAACTTCACCCAGAAGTTAAATTATATGTCAAAATTCAACTATTAGTTCCATGATTGGAAGGCCTGATTTTAATCATCATAAAGATCTGTGGGTTTTTTTAGGTCACTTCTCAAAGAAATACTAAACTTCCTGTCTAGAGTTTTTATTTCCCCCCAATGTGCTATCTAGTGATTATGGCCAGCTACTTCATAGTAGATTATATCACAGGCAGTTTTTCAGGGCTGTACAACTAACCCCAAAATAACCACAGATTGGCTTGCCTAGCAAGGAAGGCTCCACTGGTGATTTGCTCGCAGATTACAGCCACCACCACCCTTGATAGTGAGTGTCACACAGACTTCTATACCAATGCTACTGGCTTATTTGGAGCCCTGGGTCCCATGTCCTGTTTTGATTCTGCTTTAGGTACCTGGGACAGCCAGTGTCAGAAGTTTCTTAGAGTTTTTCTCACTCGGATTTTTTATCGTCACTCAAAAGAAATTGTTACCTGCTCCCTGATATAAGCACATTTGTAAAACTGAGTTGCTTTCTATAATGTTTGCTTTGAGAATCTCAGTGTTATTTCAGACAGCTACAGTGATGTTTTGCTCTAATAACTTTACATACAAAATCAATTTGGGAATGCTGTTATATTTTTTGTATTCTCTGAAATGTATTCTAATGTTCTATTTTATAGTTGATCACTTATTCTGAAGCTTGTATTATCTGGGAGAGGGGGGTTGTTCTAGAAGCTTTGCAGCGGGTTTTGGCTAAAATCATTACAGGTTTTTTGTTTGTTTGTTTTAACCTCAGTCCTTTTATTTTGAAGCAGCTGGCCATGAATTTGAGGCCACATTATGGCTCAAAAGACTCAGGGACCTGGCTGAGGTGGGGGGCTAATTGACTAATTGACTAATGCCAGAACAGGTTCAACAGATGTGGGCTAGTGAGAAGTAATTTTATATCTAAGGAGTAAAGTAATGCAATGTGATGGTCAGATCTGTTGGGTAATTAATGTGAAGTAAAGGAAGCAGGACATTACACTGTGAAATCATGATTTCAGCTGGCTCCTCTTGAGTGAGAATGGAAACAATTTTGTTAAATCACCATAATTCTCATTAAATCACCAAAGAAAATAGAAGGTTGGTTCTGGAGGGGTGGTATCTGGTACTCCAAGAGTATCAGACAAGTACTAGAAGGTGGTAGAAACCAAAAGCATGGCATCACTAAAGGGAAAGACAAGGTGAAAAGTGTAATAGTGCTTCTGTAAGAAAAAATGTGAGAAGATAAGCAAAAGCCTAATTAGTTTGGTCCCAGCAGAGCATCAGCATTTGGTGCAGAGCCTACTTCACTGAGTAAAATATAGCACCTGTCTAAACTATAAATTGGCAAAGAGAGTACACAGGCTACAGTGGAGGTGATACACGATAGAGAACCAGCAGAGATATAGAGGCCAATTATAGAGCCTTGGTGTATGGATTTATATTTTCTCTAGTTAAGAACAAGAGAAGGAATGTTAGAAAACTGTGTTCATTTTAAAATATTTAAAGGGCAAGAATAAGAAAATTTCAGTGGATCAGGACTCTATTGGTTCAATTACATCATATGACACCGGGCTCAGAAAGCACACGAGTTGACTTTGCTACTGCTAAGCCAAATGAAATTTTTAAACAAGCCATTTCCTATTAGAGCACCTAAGCTATGGTTTATGTGAATGGTTTTCACTGGGGACAATGTAGAGGTGAAAGGTGGACTTGACTTTTCAAACAGAGGCATAATAGTAAACATGAACCAACAAATCATGACACCAGAGAACAATTATGAGGCATTTTTAAAGATTTCATCTGTACTGAGGTAGAAGGAACCATTTTACAACTCTGATAAAATAAAAGGTCTGCTTTGGCAATAGTTGACTAAGCTGCTTTGGCAAAAATTTGGGTTTAAGAAGAGCAAGGACATGGGGAGCTAGAATAACACACGTTGCTGCACGTGTGTTATTCTAGCTCCCCATGAAATTTAGTCTCTGGGACTTAGAAAATGTCATTGTAGACCACTTTGTCAAGTACTATACTTTCTTTTTTTTTTAAGCTGAGCCATCCTGCCACCTGTTGGCAGCTCAGTGGCAGCTCTGCTCAGGCCGGGAATCGAACCGCTGTTGCTCAGAGCTTGCACTCTTGAGCGAGCTCTTAACCAACTGAACCACTCGGCCGGCCCAGTACCATACTTTCTTTAAGCTTTTGCTCAAAATTTGACCTCAGAGTCAAAATGCTCACTACAAATGGTATGCTACTGTCACTGTTTTGCTGCTTGTCCTCTTCCTGTTTTTTTTTAACTGCTTCTTTTTGCCTGCTAAATTATCATCAGATATCCAGAGGTTCTATGGTTACTATAAAAGCAGAAAACGCCTGGCATGTAATTTTAGGAAATATAAGAATAAAGATAAGACCCCAGAGGTCACAGCCTTTCAGAGGGTTTCGGTTATATTCAGTCCAAGTAAAGTTCAGAAAAAACAGCTTTGCATGAAAATACCATTGAGATATATGTCTTTATTACATGCTATACAATAGCATGTCTGACTCTTAATTTGTAGAAATTGAGAGGTGGGGAGGCAGCTTTTGTGAGCATATTTCAGAAAAAAAGGTATTTCAACACCTTTTTTTTTTTTTTACCGATTGGTTTTCTGATTTCCATTCCTGAGCATAAATTGCTCTTTCAGCCATATGAATTATGGATTAAATGAAAGCAGCAGCGTGGAAATCTTTAGGATGATTTTTGAAGATTAGGGCAATATTAGCATTCTGTAGAAATACAAAGAGAAAATATAAACCTATGGGAGTGCCCAAAGGAAAAAAATGTACCAGAGACTTGTTTTCCTCATTTTTTTTAAATTGAAACTGCTAAACGGATATTAAACTAGAGAAGTCATCCCTCCACCACCACCACCAGCCTCTTTATGTGAAGAAACTGCTCACTTCTGTACCCAAAACCTTAGGATTGACTGGACAAGGGGGTTGGGGTGGAATGAAGCTGAACACATGCGGAGCTCCAGGGCTGCTAGAGCTGGAGACAGCAGCTAGAGGCAGCCACCGTTGGCAGGTGTATTAGTAGTCAGAGGCCCAGGACCGGCCTGTTGGAGAGTCCTGAATTCATGAGCAAGCATTTTTGAAGTAGCATATTCTTGGTTCCATTAAATCATCACAACAGAATTGCCTACATAGATGATTCTTGTAGGTTTTCTTGTAATTGGCATCAGACATAACTATTATGCAAGAGGGGAGAAAAGGCTAGAAAGAAATACACCAACATCTACACAGATAGACTTATTATTATTATTATTATTATTATTATTATTTAATATTTTATTGGGGAATTGGAGGAGGGAACAGCATTTGGGAATCGGGGAAGGGGAACAGACAAGTTGCTGTCCTTCTGCTCCTCAGTCTAGTTGTAAGGACGTCGCTCCACTGGCCCATGCTGGCATTGTGATCACTGTGCTCTCCCCAGCTGAGGCAGATCGGCCACCAGCCCTTGGGCAGCTGATCACGCTGGCCGCCAGCCACTCACGGTAGCCTACGGCAGCCCACTGCAGCCCCACTGCAGCCTACGCCATTACTGGCAACCCACGGCAGCCCAGCTCCAGGTCGAGCTGTTGTTCACCATCTTAGCTGTAGAGGGCGAGCATCACTGGCCCATGTGGGATCTGAACCGGCAGCCCTGCCACTCAGAGCTCGCGCTCCCAAGCCAACCCTTAACCAATGAGCCACTTGGCCAGCCCAGGATTAAATTTTTTATGTTTTATTTTATTTTTTATAAATTTTCTCTCTTTTTTTTTTTACAATGATTACTACTTGATGTTTTTGCTGAGAAATAGATGTTTCTATCCAAATATATATATATAAGTGTTATCTAAAAAGTCAAATGGTTTTTTCATTTGTTTTTCTGATCCATCAGATAGTTCTAAACAGGGACAAGAATGATGATGATAGAGGGCACTTAAAAAATAATTAACAAACTAGCATTTAACAGTGATTGATTTTTTTTCTTGAAAGTAATAGATTTTTTTTGGCCACCAAAGTCAAGGTGGATTAAACTGATAGAAAGTTATTAACAATATTGATTAAAAATATTCCACATGAAAGCCTTTAATATATTCCATGCATCACTTAGACTCCAGATTGTCACTGTTTATTGAAAGCCGGTTTTCGGGCCTTCCGGGGCACATTTATTATAAGCGCTTTTGAATGCAGAGCAGATTGCTCCCAGCATACAGGTGGTTTTCTGCTGGCGACACATGAATGCTTACAGCTGCATGTTTTTGTCTTACAGAATTGTCTTGGTTCAACTGGTGCCTTCCCGGGTCGTGTTTGCTCAGTCTCCTCCTCATTCTGTGCTTCAGGGAATCCTATGACAGACTCTATCTCGATGTGGTTGTCTCAGTTTAATAGCACAGGCTCGAAGGAGTGTAAAAAGAGACTGGAAATCAGTACCGCACACTGCACATTCGCTTGGAATCACACATCTAACAGGAAAACAAGGCGAAGAGAGAAACTTCATTCAGAGGTTTTGTTAGGTTACAGGTGATCACATTAATTTAATTACTATTAGGTAATAATAATAATAATAATGTGGACTTGAGTGATCATAGGGGATTTAAAAACTTTAAATGGCATACCCGTGCCTGATTCTGGGGTTGGAAGTGTGATGTCTTCTACACAAAGCACTACCTACCCTCTGTGTTTTGTGCCAGTGCTAAACTACTGATTGATTAATGGTAATTATGTAAAGAAATAAGGGATTGTCTATCACATGAAGATAACTACTTCCCTAAGTCACATACCAGAATAGGAAGAAATGCCACTAACTTCTAAAGAAGTTTAAACCCTGTATCCGATTTTAATTATCAAATAGCCCAGAAGTATCTCTATGATAGAAATTAGCCACATGTACACTACATTTTTTTCTAATAAAGCCATTTCTTATATGACTCCTTATTTTTAATTAGGTCAGAAACCTTTGACCATCTTTATTATGGTGATCAAGTGCTTTCCAGTGACTTCAGAGCACATATTTTGTGTCTCAGTCTTAACGTATCCTTGTTTCTGTGAAATACAATTTCATCTACTTGGCTCTTAAATAATTACGTTAAAGGTGACTAAGTGTTTAATGTAGTCACATTAAATATTGTATGAGAAAATGTAACTGTTCTGATTTAGCACTTTGTTAAAAACAAAATGACAAATCACATAGAATATTCTGTGTCTTCAGCCCATATATATATATGTATATATATGGGATATAAGTCCAGCAACCAGCTATTATTTCCTGGGGTTACATTTTATTAAGTGACCCTTGTTTGAAAATAACAATTTATAACATTGAAACTTTCAGATCTGTTGAATGATTTCTAATTACATTCTTGTATTTCAGTTCAGGTTATAGAATATTCAATTCTGTATGGAGTCAGTATATTTGAGAGGGCAGTATTTTGCCAGTACAAGTTTTCTTTCTATGGATGATAGCTGTGTAAAAAATGACAGTAACTCATTGGACAGCTCTCGGACATGTATTTCACTATTACATAAAATATGTTCTGGTGGGATTATAATATTACCATTATCCACATTTACATAATTCCTCTCCCACAGAAAAGCCAAACAATTTCCAAAAAAAGTCGTCAAGAATAATATTAATGCTTTTCTTTCATCAGTATTCTCAGCTTCCTCCAACCCTGTCTCCTTTTTTCCTCACTTGAAATTGTGTCTTCATTGTCAGCTGAATGTATATTTTGTCTTTTTCTGGACAGTGTGTAAACCAGCTCCTTCTGTTAACCAAGATGATGAAGTTTGGTTGAGGAAAGTTGGTCAGCACTTAATTCTACTCATCTCTGCATGTGTGCATAAACCCTCACTCACACATAGTCCCAAATACCTCTCTTTTCCCCCTTAATAAGTTCAAGGCTATTCATTAACTTATCTCATCCCAGAGAAGGATTCTATTACTGCTTAGCCTACTAAGATCTTAAATTGTACAATTTGAAAAGTAAGAAACCCCTCAAATTTAACATCTGTCTTCAGCCAGCTTTAAATCATTTCCCTTTTCTTTTTATTTATTTATTTATTTTTAGCTGAGCCATCCTGTCACCTGTTGGCAGTTCAGCGGCAGCTCAGCTAGGGCCGTGAATCGAACCGGCGACCGTGTTGCTCAGAGCTCGCACTCTTGAGCGAGCTCTTAACCAACTGAGTCACTCAGCCAGCCATTTCCCTTTTATAACCACTCTGCTGACTTAGCAACAAGAACCAAAGGAACTAAGGAAGTTGCTAAAAAAAAAAGAAGAAAACTTAAGAAAGCTAGGCATAGTTCCAACTAACTCTGTCATTCTTCTTAAATAAAAATAAAATAAAAGGAAAACAGAATTCTTGAAGATGATTGAAAGGATATCAGTAGTTCATGACCCAGATGCTAAAATAACCACCAGCCGTTCTTATTTAGAAAGAAGATAGCAGGGGGAAGAATTATGAAGTATTTGGTTTTAGTCAAAACTTGTGTTTGAGGATGTCACTGTATAAAATTCTGCTATAATAACAGTATTGATATAGAACATTTTAATTGTGATTAATTCTAGCTTTAACACAAAGTAAAGAATAACACTTTAAAAATATTACCTAAATGACTAATTCAAAAACATCCCAGTGGGTAGTGATTACAAATTCTTTCATGTGCCAGACACTAACCATGGTTTTTAGCATACATAACATGAGTCCCTCTCTCTCATTTATATCCACTTACCCCTCCAGCAGATAATTGTTCTAATCACCAATTACAGCTGTTTTAAGTGATCAAAATTTCATATACCAAACCTGATAGCAAGAGAACCAAAAACATTTGGGGTGGGGGAGGATTACGCACTATTAATTTACCTGAATATATTTTTATTCTTTTTTACTACTAACATACATCAAAATAAACCAGCTGCTATCTGCACTTTCTAAACAAACATTATAAGAATTCTAATGAAATTTTATAACTGAAAGAAATCATAACCCTCCACTAATCCAAGCCTTCATTTTAGAATCTAATAGAAACAGTCCCAACGAGGTAAAGGATCTTGCCGAAGGTCACAAGCCTACTTAGTGACAAAAGTCTAACTAAAACCCACATCTTCTGACTCCCAAAGGAGGATTTTTTCCTACCTCACAGAATTGCCGCTTAATTTGGACATTTTGAGGTGTTGGTGAACACTCTTCCATGTTCAAAAACAATGGAGCTTAAGACTAAACTGCCATTATTTTGTGTGACATTACAGGTGACTGTTTGGTTTTTAAGTAAAATCATTCAATTTTCTTCATCACTATCCTGTTGGTGCTCTAATTTCTCTAAGTCTTAGCTTGAAGTGACATGATATAAAAATATTCTATGAATAATTCAAGCCTCACAAAACAACTCAACAGCATTATTAATTGGTAAGGACACGTTATAGCCTAAGTTCCCTGTGGCTTATCAATGAATACTTAACAGTCTATGGGATGAAGCATTTTTAATATGGTCCATGGTAGATGAAAGGAACAAGATAATTACACAAACAGATGCATTTCACTGTAGGATGGAGCTAATAAAAAAAAAGGAGGGAATTAAGTACAAGAATAATTTTATATATTTAAGCATATATGGCCTAAGGGCCAAATTTTATCATAGATCACATATTCATGTTTTAATTATTGAGAATGTTTACAACTTGTTTTTTATGAAGCCCTTCTAATGAGGGATTCAAGCTAAGAGATTTTAAATTGAAGAGATTAAATTCCCATCTATTTATCTTTTAATTAGGTTTTTACTATTATTTTTAGTAAAATCCAGGCATTCATCTTGCTGTTTGCATAAGTACAAGCTTCATTTTAAACTCAAGATCAAATATAAATGCATAGTAAATTTGCTTTAAATTAATGTTAAAAAATCACATTAATTCCACATTTGTCCCTGAAATACAGAAATCACTATGATTATACCATATTATCAAGCAAATGCAAAAGCTGTGATATGAAGAAAGGGCCATATTAAAAAAAAAATAGCTAGAAAACTATGAGAAAATTTGATCAGACCTATTTTATAAATATAGGGAAAATAGAATTTCACTCTAATTTGGAATTATGTAGAAAGGGACAAATAAAATTTATTTCCATCTATCAAACAGTTTGCTATTCTGTTAGAAAATATAAGCAACATTTCAAGGGAAAAGTGTTGGGCCATCCTAGAAGAAAAAAACTTGACAAGGAGATTTGGGGTTTCTCTTTAATAGCATCCATTGGGTGCTTTGTGCTCAGTAGAGGTAAGTTGTCTGCTCAGTAAGCAGACACCATCTTGGCAATCCTGAGCACGCATTTCCTTTCTGGTGGTCTCCTGGCTCAGCTGGAACCTCACAGTTAGAGGTGAACAAATACCCAAGGCCCTTGAAAGTGTCCTCTCTGGCTAGGGGATGGGAGTGATAGAGGCTGTGGCCAGAGAGTACAGCCAATCTCTCCTCTGAGACATGCTTCTTTTTATAAACAATTTAAGTTCTTGGTCAGGACTGAAACAACATCCGCCTCTTGTTTTACTTAGCAGTTTTCTGAAGCTCTCACTTGTCCTCGTGGCGTCGTATCTCAGCTTTCTGAAACCTTGCAGGAATCTGACCTCAGCTCCATCCCTGAGACTCTCCTAGGTCTCCACTTCCTTGAACTGACTTCTTGGCACAGGCTTCTAATTTACCCGCCCCCCAACCCCTCCCTAAGCTCCTAGGCTGAAAACCCAGTCTTGACTAGTAGTAAGGCCATACGCCTAGGCCTCCCTCTCCTGACCTGGACACTAACATGATGATCGGGACATAAGTAAATCCTGGTACTCCAGGAAGATTTGATGGTTCTTCCCACAGCCAAGACTTACAAATTAGAATATTTCCCTGAAATGGGAATTACGAAGGTCTCTAACAGGTTTCTATAGTTGTTATTTGTTGCATTTTAGAATATGGACTGATTAAATTGCTTTATATTGTCTTTCTGTTGTGCCTTGGAACCTGGTAGTCCTCGAACAATAGCTTTCCATCTCAGCCCATACAGAAAAAGAGAGCAAACACTTACCCCACCCCGGCTGCTCTGCTCATTCAACAAGGGAAAATTAATGTTTTAAAAAACAGCTAAAAAATGAAACAAAGCACAGAATTCATTTCAGCAACTTTGGTAAAATTAAAAAAAAATTAAACCATTTTGGCTTTAAACATCCGAAAGGATTGCCAGGAGATCAGCCCCACACACGGTGTTGTCAGGGCTCCTCCTGGCTCTTCTAGTTTAAAAGGGAGGCCTCTGCAGTCTTGACGAAAGTAACCAGATTGACTTGGAGACACTTAATTTACCTTCATGTTAGAAAGTGGTACTTCTTTAAGAAACTACAGTTTAATTTAGACTTCCTCTAATTCAGATTGGCTTTCTTCCCATTTACCCAGAAGGGGCATAGGATCAAAGAGGTGATCTCATCTAACCACCTCATTTTATAAATAAGTAAACAGAACACCTTTTAGGTTAAATGACGTGGCTAGGATTTAGCAGGTCACCTGACTCCTAGGCCCGTATTCTTTCTATAAATAATCAAAGCATTAGCCAGAAGTTAATTACTTTGAGTAAATTTTCTTTCTTTTACATTTTTGAAATTAAACAAGAAATACGTGAATGAGCACCCCTTATAAAATACCCAGTACTGAAGTATAACACGTCGTTGACCTTCGTACAAACACATGCTGGATAACCCAGTCTCCTTTCCAGAGGTAATTGCTATGAACCCTTTCGGAAAAATGTTTATGCATTTACATACACACGTATAAAAACTTAGAGGGAGGTTAAAATCAAGTCATGCAGGGAACTGTTTCTTAGACCATGTTGGCATTAACTTTGGGGCAGAAGCAGGAGTTTCTGAGAACTTTTATTTCACTCCCTGATGTGCCTGTATCACATGTAGCAA